CTTATTCCATTTTTTCTATTTTCTTTACTTGTGTACCAAAGCTTAAAGCCCCATATTTTTATCTCTCTAAGCTTTTCCTCTACCTACTTTGTTTTTTGAATACACATAATATAAATTCCTCTCATAGTCATTACCTCTATTATCTCTACACTCTTACCAGTTAACGATCTTATATTCCAAGTAGTTAAGCGTAACTTACCCTCATATACTAGTTTTTTTACTTGTGATCGTCTATTAAAACACAAGGACCTTTGCCTATTTAACACCACACTCGAACAACGATGTGGTGCACCGCTTTCAGGCAATGACCTAGCAACCCCCATCTGTTTAACACTGTTCTCAAGCTCTAATGAAGTATGTTGTTAAGAGATGACACCCTAAAAAAAATTCTTATTTTGATCTCTTATCATAGTTTGATTATGTTTTATATTAGCCTCAATCTATCGTAGCCTTTCTTACTTTATCTGAGCTTAGAACTGACAAGTGATAACACATAGGCAAAGTTTAATAGATAAGTTGTAATACTTTAAAATACTATAGCTTGTTCATATCATAAGAATGATGTAATAATTAAAAGGAATATTAAACACCTTTGATTTTATCAGCACATTGACACTAGAAAAGAGAAAATAACGATTCCAACTATAACACTGTAGAATAATAATCACATACAATACCTTTTTATTTTATTTTATTTTGTTTTACTTTTTAGATTACTAGAATTCATCATAATGCAATGGAATTAATTACAATGCAAATATATAGGTTGTACTTTCTTTGTAACATTAATAGAAGTGAAAGTTTTTAGAAGCTACCTAAGAGTTGAAAAGAGCAAGGTTAATCTTTTGTTATAGCTAATAGTGGCCCTATGTAAAGGATTTTTAAAATAAAGCTACAAAATTAAAAATTAAAAACAAAGCATATGCTACTTCCTTTATTTCAATTAATAGAATCTAATGCTAAAATGTTATGTTTAAATTGATAATAACACCTCTACGACAATTAAACACTATAATATGGTGTAAGCCTATGGTTTGACAGCATAATATAATGAATTATCTAGTTAAGTGCATAACAATTTTCCCTATAACATGTAGCAAAGTTTCATAGTAAAGAAATAAAATAAAATTTATTGATTCAAAAATTATAGGAGGGCGTATCACTTAGCCATTTCATAGAAAATTAACATAACTAAGAATTTCTAAACAATTTAACCAAAATGTTTAAGCCTAATTTAAGAAAAGAGACAAGGGATGATAAGATAATTTTCTTTTTTATCTAACAAAAAATAAATAAGCCTCTTTCATGTCATTTTCTAATTTCAGACTTTACAATGTTTTAAAATTTCTCAAATAGAAGAATATCCCCTTACTTGAAATATATATAGTATAATTGAAAGGCTTTTACTATGCAACAACTCATTAACAAATCAAATCCAAGCAGACCTTCAATATTTTTATAATTATGGATGAAGACGGGAAAACAATAAAACTAAATTATCTCTTAACTCTAATCCAACCCATTTAATCAACAAATCATTAAATGATTTCAATCACCATTGCAAACACACATAATTAGAACAATAATCAAAGAAAAAATACTAAACATTAAGTAAAAATTGACATATATCAACATTTACTTAACCATCCAAAACTTCAAAATACCAGCAATTATCATCACTTCAAAAGCACTAAAGTAAAGAAAAATGTTAAAGTTGGCATTTTTCAATTCTAAAATATAGTGAAAAACTTAATTACCCATAAAAATCAACAAAGAAATTTGATATACACATAAAAATAACAAATCTTAAAATAACTTAAATGAACAAGAAAAAATTATATAAAATTCAAGCAAATAAATTACCTCAAAATTAATGAAGATAAAGCAAAATTCTGCCAAAAAAAAAAAGATATTAGCAATAATAAAATATGAAATTTTAAAATGAATTAATTAAAGAGAAAAGAAGATAATCCAAAGAGGAGAAAAGAGGCAAAGCTTACTGATAGTGCATGGGCGAACCAATTTTTAATTTTTTTAGAATAATTTAAAATTTGAAATTTAGATCAAAAATGAAATGGGTTGGAAGAGGAAAAAGTTGATATGGTTTTACATAAGTTTATTACAATGATTAGTTAATCATATTCATGTACACATCCATTACTGGCAATTTTATTGTTTCATTTTGTTATTTTTAGCTAGAAATGAGTTAGTTAAAAGAGGCAGCTAACCATCATTATAAAAGTTAAGAAATAAAAATAGACTTTTGGGAATTTCTTTCTCTCTTGTTCTCCCAAAACTTCTTTTTTTTTTGTTTCTTGATTTTTTTTTTTGATTTTTTTCTTCGAATATCAATTCTATTTGTGTTCTTCATTCATTTGCTTTAGTCAATTGATTGAAGTCAAAGAACTGTAACAAAGGTATCAAAGCAACGTTCTTGGCAACCATGGCAAAGAGTGTGACTTCAATATTACAAAAGATGTTTTGTAATTGCAAGTTGAGATTCAACATATTGATAAAAATATGGATAATAAGTTTGATGCATTCAAAAATGAGTTTAAATAAGAGTTTAAGAACCTTTTTGATCTATTGGTTGCTTAATGGAAAGCCCATTAAAGAATAGAAATGGGAAGGATCTTAAGCTAGTGCAAGGAGGTACATAATCTAAGAAGGTGACACAAGTAAGATTTTTTGCTTTTAAAATTAGAATGCTCTAAGTTTAATGGGGATGACTTTAAAAGGTGGTTCATGAAATTAGAACAATATTTTGTGGTTGAAATAGTGCCTAAAAGCTCTAAGGTCAGAGTTATAATGCTTAGTTTAGAAGGCAAGGCACTACAGGCATTAATATTATTATAAGAGGTAAGGGGATTTTGACGAATTAGATTGAAAGTCTCATATAACTGAGATGTAAGATAAGTTTATGTTTGGGGAATATAAAAATTCTATGGCGGACCTAGTTAATCTAAAATAATCTGGTAATGTGGAGCAATACCATGATGATTTTATGAGAATACTTAACTTACTACAATTGAGTAATGATCATGCTATTAGCATATTTATCAGTAACTTGAAGCTTGATAACTTATAAACCTTTAGCTTTCAAGCCAAAAACACTTAACCAAACATTGCACCTTGCTAAACAAATTGAAGGTATTCTATCCTCCTTTTAAGAAATCCATTTCACTCACCCAACTTCTCATGACCAATATAAATTCCCAAGCAACGATGAAAACCATGAGGAACCCACATTTATTATTGCATAACCTTAAAACACTATTTAGATTAAACCTTTTGAATTTGTACAATTCTAAACAACTGGGACATTTTCCAAAACCAAACACTAGTTTCAACCAACCCAACAACCAAATGAATGGTCTTGAAGGCTTATTCAGGTTGAAATGGAGGGAAAAAAAAGCAAGGGCTATGTTATTGGTGTGGGCTAAGTGCTCTCCTAACCATATAAATGTATGAAGTCATAGTTGTACTAGTTGATAACAGAAGGGGTGTGAAGAGAAGGAAGAAGTGGATGAGTTTTCTGATTGCATTTACAATATAGAAGTTTTAAAGTTAGAGAATGCTAGTGACATTTATGTAGTTATCTCTTTACATGCTATGATGGGAACCATTGGGTATCAAATTATAGGAGTTAAAAAAAGTTATCAAAAAGCATGCATTTGTTATCCTGATCGATTCAAAAAGTACACATAATTTTGTGGACTCCAATGTTGTCAAGATGTTGGGATTAGTTGTTAGCTAGCATTGTAACATTGTGGTTATAGTGGCTAATGGTTAGAATATGACTACTCGGGGTACTTGTAGAAATGTGGACTGGTTAGTGCAAAGGCTTGAGTTTTTCATAGATTTCTTGATACTGCTATTGAAAAGGTGTGATGTAGTGTTGGGAATTCAATGGTTGGTGATACTAGGGCTAATCTTATAAGATTTTGCCATTCTTACCACGTAGTTTTAGTATGGTTAGAATTGGAAAACAATTGAAGGCATTCAACTTGAAACGATATCGCCGTTGGATGACAAACAACCATTGAAGGCCCTACAGAATTTGATGGCTGCTTCTGTCTAGCAAGTTTGCACCTTAATGATGGTTGAAGAAGCCTAATTGTTAATAAAAAAAGGAGTTGATGAACATGGGTTGGAACTTACTGCAATACAAAAGTTAGATTAGCTACTAAAGAAGTATAAAAATTTATTTGCAACTCTTATAGGGTTACCTTCAAGTAGACCCCAAGATTACAAGATTCTCTTTATGGATGAAAGGTAGACGGTTGTGATCAAACCTTATAGATACCTAGCTATACAAAAAGATGAGATAGAGAGTATGATTAAAAAAATGTTGAAGGCTGATATTATAAGAAATAATAGCAATTTTTTTTGCTTTTCCTATTATAATGGTAAAGAAAAAAGATGGTTACTTGAGGCTGTGTGTAGACTATAGGCAACTTAATCATTTGACTATTACAAGTAGCAAAAAAATGAATTGGATGAGGATTAGAGGTTGAGGATGAAAAAAAGGTAAGAAAGATATACTAACATAAAAAATTTATTGTTTGAAGAGTAAAGAAATTTTATATTAGCGAAGTTGAAAGAAATAAAGAGATTTTATCTTTTTAATTGGCTACCAATTAGATTTTATCTTTTTATTTGGCTAACAAAAGTAATGCAGTAACTATAATTTTGTTATTATAATTTTAAAATTGGTAATTTTCTTTTAAATAGTTTTTTATTACATAAAAATGTAAAATTTTCTATTACACTTTTTTTTTAATCTCCCGTTTTCTTAGGTTCCACTTGAGCAAGGTAAATTTTTTTTCAATAAATATAATATTTAAGTTGCCGATTCTTTTGGAGAAATCAAATTGGGTCGGGTTTTGAAATTAGTCAGGTTATAGCGGGTTGGTTTTTCCAATTTGCCAAAAACCCTTGATTTCGATTTCCTGTGGATTTGGGGAGGATTCTTCTCGATCTAGCTGCTTTAACCAAAAATGGCTAAAATACCTCTTAGAAATCTGCTATCTCTAATCCAAAAACGCTTCCTTCAAACCAACCCAACCCCCTCTTCTGCTTCAAAACCGCCACCTTTAAAATCCGCCCTTTCAACCTCCCCAAGCAGCTCTCCAAAATCCGCGTCCGTCCTTAGCTGTTTGAAATCTTATGGATTCGAGACTACCCAAATTGCCACATTGGTTCAAAAACGCCCTGAAATCCTCAATTGCAAAGTTGACACAAAGCTCAAACCCAAGCTTGAATATCTCACCCAAAAGGGTTTTGTAGGTAATCCTTTGTCTGAACTGATTGTATCGAATCCTTTGATTCTTTCTCGAAGCTTGGAATCTCATATTAAGCCATTGATTGAGTTTTTATCCCCTTTTTTGAATGTTGAGGAACTGTCGGTTGCTATTAAACGATCATTTTCGTGGTTATTGACTTTAAAACCCAGTACCGTTTTGCAACCAAATGTTGATTTGCTGATTAGTGAAGGGATTTCTTCTAGTGGGATATCGAAATTGTTGGTATCACAGCCTAGAGTTCTCTTGCAAAGCCATGACAGAATGGTTTACGCGGTTAAAACTCTTAAAGAAATAGGTTTTGAACCAAAACAGCTTAGGTTTATACAGGCTCTTAGGGTGATTTGTTCGATGAGCAAGTCGAATTGGATGAAAAAAGTGGAGGTTTTTATGAGTTTGGGATGGGGTAAGGAGGAAGTGTTTAACACTTTTAGGAAAGATCCTATATGTTTAACTTATTCCGAGAAGAAACTTAGCTGTTTAATGGATTTTTATGTGAATACTATGAAGCTGGATGCGAAGACTATCATTGCATGCCCAACCTTGCTTCACTATTCAATCGATAAAAGGATTATTGCAAGGTATAAAGTTTTGAAGTTTTTGAGGTCGATGAAGCTGATCAAAGAGGACAAGAAGATTGTTTGGGCAATACCACTTTCTGAAAAGAAATTTTTGCAGGAATACATTACTAAGCATAGGGACAAAGTTCCAGGTTTGTTGGATATGTACCAGCATGCGGCTAAGCAAAGAAAAACAACCAAAGGTAAGAATGAGAAATTTGATCCCAAATCAGCAAGTTTGACCCCTGTAGTGTAGTTCATAGTCTACCTAGACATTCCTTTTGACTGGTTCGTAATGTATTATGGTGCTGTCAGTTTGATCGCTTAATATCATCTCTCTCGCCATTAGCATTTTACTTATTATATGCTCTGGTTGTCTACCCTACAGGCCTTCTGAAGTTTGCACCTTTTTATTTTATCATTTCCCTTCTAGTTTTATGAAGTTTTTCTAGAGATGCTTCATTTTTCTTTGATTAATTTCTAGAGATGTTTTGTTTATGATCATTCAAAAATTTTATTATTTAGTTTTGTATCCAAGCACATTTTTATTTATTTATTTATTTTTATTTTATTTTATTTTATTTTACATAAAATAGATAGTATAATCTTTAATAAATTTTACTATTTGGTTTTGGAAATAAAAATGCAAATGGCAAAATCACAAAACGAATATAGCGAAGTACACAGAACAAGAGAAATTCTTTTGCGTTTAAGCTTTGTTTTCTAGTTGGTATGCATTTGTAAATGTATGAGTTTCAGGGCCCAACTGAAAAGAATTAATGTTGTTTTTCATTTTAATTCAGTTCCCAAACAAGAGAGGCCAAGTCTTTAGTGGTAATGGATGTCATTCTCTGGTGTCTAGCATTGACATTACCTTATAAAAATGACAAGATTTTGATTGAATGATAACACAACTTCTAAGACCCAACGATATATTGATATGTATTAGCAGCAGAAAAATCTGGACTAATTTTCTAAAAATGAAATTATTAATTATGCTGACGATGAAATTTTTAAATTTAAGGATTATAAGATGATGCATATCTGTATTAAATAATAAAAAATTATTTCAAAAAGTGATATGCCTCAGTTTCTTCACTTATTAAAAATTTTCACAACAGTATATCAAATAAATTTTTTTTAAAAAAATAGCATTTCTTTTTTTTTTTTTTTTAATAAAACAAGATTTCATTAATTAAAACACAATATCATTGACTTCCTAAGGATAACCCCCATTCCAGACAAAAGTTTTCCCACTGTCCACTGCTAATCTTGCTAACCTATGAGCCGCCCCATTTGCTTCACAATGGGTGTGAGAGCAGGTCCATTCTTCCAACTTCGTTAACATCATCAGTCTGGTTTCCTCCATCAGGTTTCCTATTACAGAGAGATTGATTCCCTTAGTCTGTGGGATCTGTGCTATAATTCTAAGTGCATCTCCTCCCAAGGTTACTTGCTGAAACCCCATATTTCCTGCATCTTCTGCTGCCCTTGCCGCCGCCATTCCCTCAATAATTTCTGGATCTCTAATACCTTTTACAATATGCACAGTGATCCCAGAACCTTACCACTGTTGTTTCTCGCAATAACACCTATACCTGCCAGTTTCTTTTCTTTGTCCAATGCCCCATCAATGTTGATTTTCATCATGTTTCCCGTAGGTGCCTGCCATCTGTCTGCTGCCCTTGGTGCGGCTGCTGGACACTGATTAACAAAAGCCACCGTACTCTGAGCAGTTCTCATCACATTACTTTTTACTGCTTCGTTCCTATCCCCCAAACACCCCAGCATGTCACGGTAAATTTACCAAAGGTCTCCTTGTCCATATTTTTTGCCACCCAAGACAGCCACTCTTTTGTGTTTTGAACCTGGGTATTCTGTGCCAGTCTCCAGCGGGTCATTGAAGATTCCATACTTCCTTTGCATGTAAACAATCTTTAATGGCATGCATAACAGTCTCTCGCTCGTTACATCTTGGACACATCGACTGTTCCATGATCCTTCTTCCCTTCAACGTTTCGTACACTGGTAAGAAATCATGGCACATTCTCCATGCAAATGTCTTCATTTTGCTTGGGACTTGCATCTACCATATTCGATCACAGACCGGGATATTGGCATTGTCCTCCATACCTCCAGTATCTCCATCCCCCTGGTATATACTGAGCTTCCCTGAGACAAGCATGTGATATCCACTATTTCCGGTAAAAACTCCAGAACTTGTATAATGCCACACCATAACATCCTGACTCCTGTTGTCCACTCATGCTAATGGGGATTGCTCTTATTTCTGATGCAATATGCTCTGGGAACATCCTATCAAGCCTATCATCATCCCACTTTGTCCCGTTCACCCCGAACAAGTCCCTTACCATCTCATCTCCCGATGAATAGTCGGTTCTAGGTATTGGGCTAAAACATCTTTCTGTTGGTAAGGTTAAAAATACCATTTCTAAAGAAATGTTTAGTGACCGTTTTTAAAACATTTTGTAATTTCAAACTTTTTTTTTTCAACCAAAACCAATTAATCTTACTATTTTCTAAATTTTTACTATCTTAGGTGACATTTTTATAAATAAAAATTATAAATATTTTCTCTGTCAACATAACATAAAAAGAATTTTAGATGAAATATTCTATTTTCGTGATTAGAATTGCACAAAAAAAATAATAAATAGGTAAAATTGCACAAAAAAATAGAGTGATAAATGGAAACCCAAACATAGTACATTGGTAAATTGTTATTTTTTCTCTATTTTTATAAATATACTTTAATAGAACATGTTTTAATTCTTTAATTTCGTTTATAGAATTTAAAATATTTACTATTAGTGTATATAATATATTTTCATTAATTAGCTGTTGTTAAGTTTTATCAACTTATTAAAGCATACTCAGGACTAGTGAAAAGTTAGTAAGAGAAAACTAGGTTGAAATTGGGAAGGATTGATTGTAATTAGACTTCTATGTTACCATAAAAACTTATTATATATTACCTATTTTTTCTCTATATTTCAAAACTATATGTTTTAGTTATTTTTATTTTTTCTCTCATTTATGCTTTTAGATATATAATATTTTTAATATTTATTTAAATAATAAAATTATTTATTATTTTACCCATATTGTGGATGTAAAAGGACTAGTATTATTTAGCTACTCAGGAGAGTTTAAAAATTTTCGGTATCAAGGTGAAATTTATCATTTTGCTATGATTTAATATATTCTCTCAATTTCAAAAAAAAAAAAAAAAGAAATCTCTCTCCCAACTTTTGTTTGGTTTATCTTTTTTTTTTTTTTGGATGCTTTAAACTATTTCATCTTGTTTTTAAACAATGACTTTGTTAATACTCTTTTTTTTTTTAATATTTTAAACCTATGTTTTTAATATTATCAAAAAATTTATTTTCTCATAAACATATTACCAACAAATTAAATCTAAAGTCCGTCATTGATAACGTGCATTTTATTATATTTCTTTTCAAATTAACAAATAAATTCCGATAATATGTCTTTTATATCATACAAAAATACTACTTTTATGTAATAAAAAAAAAAAAAACCAAAAGCATGAATCTATTTAGGGAAAAAAAATTGATCCTGTTAGCTTTAGAGCCAAAGAAAGCATTTTCTGTGAAAAATTTTGCTTTTAAACATATTAAAAATAAATTAAAATATAATAAATAAAAAAATCATTTCATTAATCAAAAATTAAAGTAATTTTTTACAAAATTATTACAAACTTTATACAAATATTAACAGGTAATGGCATCGCTCTGAGAGAAAAAAAAATGATAAAAGGGCACACCAGAACAAATGAATGATCAAAACATTAATTTATGTGAATCAATGCCTCTTCCTTCCACGATTTTCCCATGATGGTGCAGCTTCACCGGATGCCCTTGCTCAGGCATACTCTGCACATAGACAATCATTAAACAATTAGTTTAAGAGTAGCAACTAACAAGTAAACTTTTTGAGCAAATAATTCATAATGTTACAACAGCAGCTTAATTTTTTCATTAGACAATTAGTCAAAGATCAGTAGTAAATTAGCCAGCAAACATCAAATACCATCACATTGACACTAGAAAAGGGAAGGCAATGATTCCAGCTATAACACATCAGTATAATAATCACATGCAACACCTTTTATTTTATTTTATTTTATTTTATTTTGTTTTACTTTTCAGGCCAATAGAATTCATCATAATGCGATGGAATTAATTACAATGCATATATATAAGTAGTACTTCCTTGGCAACATTAATAGAAGTGAAAGTTTCTAGAGGCAGGTGCCTAAGAGCTGAGAAGAGCAAAGTTATTCTTATTTGACGGCTAACAGTGGCACTATGTAAAGGACTTTCAAAACAAAGCTACAAAATTCAAAATTCAAAACAGAGCACATGCTTCTTCCCCCACTTCAATTAATAGAATCCACTACTAAAATGTCATGTTTAAATTGATAATAAACCTCTACGTTAACTAAACACTGTAATGCGATGTAAACCTGTGGTTTGGCAGCATAATCTAATGACTTATCCAGTTAAGTACGTAAAAATTTGCCCTATAGCATGTAGCAAAGTTTCATAGTAAAAAGATACAGTTAAATTTATTGGTTCAAAAGTTACAGGAGGGCATATCACTTAACCATTTCATACAAAATTAACATAACCAAGAATTTCTAGACAATTTAACCAACATGTTTATGCCTGGTTTAAGAAAAGAGACAAGGGTCGGTAAGACAATTCTGTCTTCTGTCTAGCAAAAAAGAAATAAACCTCTCTTGTGTCATTCTCTAATTTCAGACTTTACAATGTTTTAAAATTTCTGAAATAGAAGAATATCCACTTTCTTGAAAAATACATGGTATGGTTAAAAGGCCTTTGCTATGCGGCAGCTCATCAACAAATCAAATCCAAGTGGAACTCCAACTCATTCATAAATATGGATGAAGATGGGAAAGCAATGAAAGTAAATTATCTCTAACTCTAATCCAACCCATTTTATCAACAAATCATTTCATGTTACATGATTTCAATCACCATTGCAAACACACATAATTAGAACAATAATCAAAGAAAAAAAGAAAAAGAAACCACATTAACTAAAAATTGACATATATCTACATCTAATTGACCATCCAAAAATTCAAAATACCAACAATTAGCATCACTTCAAAAGCACTAAATTAAAGAAAATTGTTAAAGCTGACATTTTTCAATTCTAAAATATAGTGAAAAGGGCAATTACCCATAAAAATCAACAGCGAAATCTGATATACCCATAAAAATAACAAATCCTAAGATAATTTAAATTACTTACAAAAAATTATATAAAATTGAAGCAAATAAATTACCTCAAAGTTGATCAAGGCAAAGCAAAATTCTGCCAAAGAAAAAGGAAAAACATATTAGCAGCGGCAAAAAATGAAATTCTAAAAGGAATTAATTAAAGAGAAAGGAAGATAACCAAAAGAGTAAAGGAAGCAAAGCTTGCTAATGGCATGGGGCCAGAAAAATTTTAAGTTTTTCATGAATACTTTAAATTTTCGAAATTTAAGGGGGAAATTAAGGATGACGGTTTCAGATTTTTAGGACAGTGAAGGTTTCGACTTTGGGTGAGGGAAAAGACGACGAAAATAAAGGATGAGAACGACGTTTTCGGCGGCTAAGGGGAAGGCACGTTGGAGTAAAGCTGCCGGCGACAGTGTGATCGGAATGGAAGAGGGTGATAGTGAAGAGTAGAGGAGGTGACTTTCTCCATTTTGTTTAAAGAGAAGAAAAGTTTAGACCTCTAGGGCATGTATATTTTATATTTTTAAAAAATAAAAAATTATTTTCCTTAAAAAAAAAACCAATGAATTAGTGACAGATTATTCCCATAGCTGAATCCGTTGGATTTAAAAATAATTAGTGATGAAATTTCGTCGCTAATTGTGTAATTCTGTCGTTTAATTCCAACAGTAATATCGTGCCATTTCAAGGCGTTCGACTAGACAATTACCGAAGAATTAGCGACGAAATTTATTTCCGTCGATAATGATAAAACCCCGTTTGTCAAATATTGTCACTCTCCGTCTTAACAATGAAGAATTTCCGTCACTAAATTTTTTATGAGCTATTTTTTCATAGTGATAGGGTGTTACATAGTATTGTTTGCATATTTACTAGTTTATTTTTAATTGGTTGATATTTAGTAGTTTACAATTAAAGTTTAGTTAATCAAGAATTTAATTTGGTTAGTTCATATAATCATTTTTAACATATAACATTTAATAGGTTTTACGTTTAAATTTCGATACTTATAATTTATCTTTAGGTCTCTTTTATTAAAAAAAAAATAGTGGGCCAATTGTGGTATCTTTCCATGCTAAATCCTAAATTATTTTCTAAAAATAGTGTTCAATCCTACATTTTCTAAAAATAATATATTTTGCAAAATTTTCTTCCATTTCTTTCTTCTTTTTTTTTTTTTTGTTTTCTTCTTTCATTTTTTTCTATGCTATCTTTCCCTTTTCTTCTAGTTTATTTTCCTCTAGTTTTCCTTGTTTTCAATTTGATGGCACTTTGTAGTTATTCTTTAGTAAAATAAAGTTACTATAAGATTTTTTTTTTATTTTCTTATAATCTCTCGAATTATGACTCATAATTATTATTGTTATTTATTAGTGATTAGTTATTGGTTATGAAATTTGATATCTTTTTTTATAGTTATTTATAATTTATAATTTTTGAATTGGTTAATGTAACTTATTATTGAAACTTAACTCCCATAAAAATAGATAAAATTAATATATTTTTATTTATCATTTTTTTTATTTTTTAGAATATAAGTTTTTTATATATCTTATTATATAAATTAGTTTACATATATTTTATTAGTTTACATATATTTTTTCTTAACAAGCACTTATATACGAAAGTGCCAAGAGAAATACGATGATGAAATGTAGAAGAAAAAGTAAATAAAATAAAGGAATAGTAATAAAATAAAGGAATAGGAATGGTTGGTGATACTATGGCCAATCTTATGGGATTTTGCCACTCTTACCATGTAGTTTCAATATGGTTAGAATTGGAAAACAATTGAAGGCATTCAACCTAAAACGATATCGCCGTTAGATGACAAGCAACCATTAAAGGCCATACAAAACTTGATGGTTGCTTTTGTCTAGCAAGTTTACACCTTAATGATGGTTGAAGAAGCCTAATTGTTAATAAAAAAAGGAGCTGATGAACATGGGTTGTAACCTACTATAATATAAGAGTTAGATTAGCTACTGAAGAAGTATAAAAAATTGTTTGCAACTCTTATAGGGTTACCTTCGAGTAAACCCCAAGATCACAAGATTCTTTTTATGGTTGAAAGGCAAATGGTTGGGATCAAACCTTATAGATACCTAGCTATACAAAAAGATGAGATAGAGAGAATGATTAAAGAAATGTTGAAGGCTGATATTATAAGAAATAATAGCAATTTTTTTTGCTTCTCCTATTATAATGGTAAAGAAAAAAGATGGTTTCTTAAAGTTGTGTGTGAACTATAGGCAACTTAATCATTTGACTATTACAAGTAGCAAAAAAATGAATTGGACGGGGGTTAGAGGATGAGGATGAAAAAAAGGCAAGAAAGATATACTAGCATAAAAATTTTATTTTGTTAAAAGAAAATGAAATTTTATATTAATGAGTTGAAAGAAATAAGAAGATTTTATATCTTTTTATTTGGTCAACAAAAGTAATGCAGTAACTGTAATTTTGTTATTATAATTTCAAAATTGATAATTTTCTTTTAAATAGTTTTTTATTAGATAAAAATGTAAAATTTTCTATTATACCTTCTTTTTTTAAATCTCCTGTTTTCTTAAGTTACACTTGAACAAGGTAAATTTTTTTTTCAATAAATATAATATTTAAGTTGCCGATTCCTTTGGAGAAATCAAATTGGCGCGGGTTTTGAAATTAGTCAGGTTATAGCGGGTTGGTTTTTCCAATTTGACAAAAACCCTTGATTTCGATTTCCTGTGGATTTGGGGAGGATTCTTCTCCATCTAGCTGCTTTAACCAAAAATGGCTAAAATCCCTCTTAGAAATCTGCTCTCTCTAATCCAAAAACGCTTCCTTCAAACCAACCCAACCCCCTCTGCTGCTTCAAAACCGCCACCTTTAAAATCCGCCCTTTTAACCTCCCCAAACAGCTCTCCAAAATCCGCGTCCGTCCTTAACTGTTTGAAATCTTATGGATTCGAGACTACCCAAATTGCCACATTGGTTAAAAAACGCCCTGAAATCCTCAATTGCAATGTTAACACAAAGCTCAAGCCCAAGCTTGAATATCTCATCCAAAAGGGTTTTATAGGTAATCTTTTGTCTGAACTCATTGTATCGAATCCTTTAATTCTTTTTCGAAGCATGGATTCTCATATTAAGCCAGCTTTTGAGTTTTTATCCCCTCTTTTGAATGTTGAGGAACTGTTGGTTGCTATTAAACGATCATTTTCGTGGTTATGGACTTTAAAACCGAGTACCGTTTTGCAACCAAATGTTGATTTGCTGATTAGTGAAGGGGTTTCTTCTAGTAGGATATCGAAATTGTTGGTATCACAGCCTAGAGTTCTCTTGCAAAAGCCATGACAGAATGGTTTACGCGGTTAAAACTCTTAAAGAAATAGGTTTTGAACCAAAACAGCTTAGGTTTATACGGGCTCTTAGGGTGATTTGTTCGATGAGCAAGTCGAATTGGATGAAAAAAGTGGAGGTTCTTATGAGTTTGGGATGGGATAAGGAGGAAGTGTTTAATACTTTTAGGAAAGATCCTACATGTTTAACTTATTCCGAGAAGAGACTTAGCTGTTTAATGGATTTTTATGTGAATACTATGAAGCTGGATGCGAAGACTATCATTGCATGCCCGAGCTTGCTTAACTATTCAGTCGATAAAAGGATTATTCCAAGGTATAAAGTTTTGAAGGTTTTGAGGTCGATGAAGCTGATCAAAGAGGACAAGAAGATTGTTTGGGCAATACCACTTTCTGAAAAGAAATTTTTGAAGGAATACATTACTAAGCATAGGGACAAAGTTCCAGGTTTGTTGGATATGTACCAGCATGCGGCTAAGCAAAGAAAAACAACCAAAGGCAAGAATGAGAAATTTGATCCCAAATCAGCAAGTTTGACCCCTGTAGTGTAGTTCATAATCTACCTAGACATTCCTTTTGACTGGTTCGTAATGTATTATGGTGCTGTCAGTTTGATCGCTTAGTATCGTCTATGTCGCCATTAGCATTTTATTTTTCTTGATATTAGTTTGCTTATGGTCATTTTATTTTGTTGTTTATTATAATCTGTCTACAGGCAACTCTTTGCTTTATTTTAAAATTTTGCTTTGAGTGGAATTCCTTTGGGTATCCTTGATAGCTTGAAAAGCTCATAATAGTTTAGCTTCATATCTTACCAGGGATTGAAATGAATTATGTTTAGGAATGGGAACTTTTATTTTGAGAAAACTTAGGTCATGTTTGGCTTCAAAGTATTTTTTTTCCTTTTGCAAATTTTCAATATTTACTCTAAAGTGTCTTTTGATGAGATACATATTCGTTTTCATTTTTCAGTGTCGGAAGCCTGCGATTTCCAGTTTTCTAGCAAATTGGGAAACTCTTAAAAAATGCTTCTAAAATGGTTCCAATTCTTCTTCTGAAAAACATGGAAAAGAATCCATTTATTATTCTTCTAACTGGTGTCAGACTGTCAGCTCGAAAATCTTAATCTCCTCTGTAGTATTTGTTACAATGTCTCCTCTTCCGTACTAAGCTAGTGGCTGTATTGTTGATCTGTCTTGAAATTTAAGACAAGGAAAGACAAGTCTAGTGTTTCCATCACTTGAAAATCCTGGATGTTAAATGGAACTAACTGGATTCCCTGTGTTCAACGAGCAAAATCAGCTATGTCCGTGAAGCAAGCTGTTTTTACTTATTATACGCTCTGCTTGTCTACAATGCAGGCCTTCTGAAGTTGATTTTTTTTTTTTTTTTATCATTTCCTTTCTAGTTTATGAAGTTTTTCTAGAGATGCTTCATATTTCTTTGATTAATTTCTAGAGATGTTTTGTTTCTGATCATTCAAAAATTTTATTGTTGAGTTTTGTATCCAAATACATTATTTTTTTATTTTATTTTATTTTTATATTTTTTTATATTTTACATGTATTTGACATAAAATAGATAGAAATTGATACATGAATTATTAGGTTTAATTTTGTGTATAATATTTAAAACATTTTACTACTTGGTTTTGGAAATAAAAATGCAAATAGCAAAATCACAAATAAATATAGCGAAGTACACAGAACAAGAGAAGTTTCTTCGGGTTGAAGCTTTATTTTCTAGTTAGTATGCATTTGTAAATGTATGAGTTTCAGCTGGCCCAACTGAAAAGAATTAATGTTGTTTTTCATTTTAATTCAGTTCCCAAACAAGGTAGGCCAGTTCTCTAGTGGTCATGGATGTCATTCTTTGATGTCCAGGATTGGCATTACCTTAAACAAATGACAAGATTTTGATTGAATGATAACAGAACTTCTAAGACCCAACGATATATTGATATGTATTAGCAGCAGAAAAATCTGTGACTAATTTTCTAAAAATGAAATTATTAATTATGCTGATGAAATTTTTAAATTTAAGGATTATAAGATGATACATATCTATATTAAAAAATAAAAAATTATTTAAAAAGGTGATATGTGTCAGTTTCTTTACTTTTCTTATTAAAAATTTTCACAACAGTATATCAAATAAATTTTATTAAAAAATACCATTTCTTTTTTTTTTTTAATAAAACAAGATTTCGTTAAGTAAAACACAATATCATTGCTTTCCTAAGGATAACCCCCATTCCAAACAAAAGTTTTCCCACTCTCCACTGCTAATCTTGCTAACCTATGAGCCGTCTCATTTGCTTCACAATGGGTGTGAGAGCAGGTCCATTCTTCCAACTTCGTTAACTTCATCAGTCTGGTTTCCTCCATCAGGTTTCCTATTGTAGAGAAATTGATTCCTTTATTCTGTGGGATCTGTGCTATAATTTTAAGTGCATCTCCTCCCCAGGTTACTTTCTGAAACCCCATATTTCCTGCATATTCTGCTGCCCTTGCCGCCGCCATTCCCTCAATAATTTCTGGATCTCTAATACCTTTTACAACCATGCACACTGATCCCAGAACCTTACCACTGTTATTTCTCACAATGACACCTATACCTGCCAGTTTGTTTTCTTTGGCCAATGCCCCATCAAAGTTGATTTTCACCATGTTTCCCCTAGGTGCCTGCCCTCTGTCTGCTGCCCTTGGTGTCGCTGCTGGATACTGATGAGCAAAAGCCACCGTACTCTGAGTATTTCTCATCACATTATTTTTGACTGCTTCGTTCCTCTCCCCCAAACCCCCCAGTATATCACGGTAAATTTACCAAAGGTCTCCTTGTCCATATTTTTTGCCATCCAAGACAGCCACTCTTTTGTGTTTTGAACCTGGGTATTCTGTGCCAGTATCCAGCGGGTCATGGAAGATTCCATACTTCCTTTGCATGTAAACAGTCTTTAATGGCATGCATAACAGTCTCTCCTTGATCGTTACATCTTGGACACATCGACTGTTCCATGATCCTTCTCCCCTTCAACGTTTCATACACTGGCAAGAAATCATGGCACATTCTCCATGCAAATGTCTTCATTTTGCTTGGGACCTACATCTACCATATTCTATTACAGACCGGGATATTGGCATTGTCCTCCATACCCCCAGTATCTCCATCCCCCGGTATATACTGAGCTCCCTTGAGACAAGCATGTGATATCCACTCTTTACGGTAAAAACTCCAGAACTTGTATAATGCCACACCATAACATCCTGTTGTCCACTCATGCTAATGGGGATTGCTTTATTTCTGATGCAATATGCTCTGGGAACATTCTGTCAAGCTTATCATCATCCCACTTTGTCCCGTTCACCCCGAACAAGTCCCTTACCATCTCATCGCCTGATGAGTAGTCGGTTCTAGGTATTGGGCTAAAACATCTTTCTGTTGGTAAGGTTAAAAATACCATTTCTAAAGAAATGTTTAGTGACCGTTTTTAAAACATTTTGTAAGTTTAAACTTTTTTTTTTCAACCAAAACCAATTAATCTTATTATTTTCTAAATTTTTCCTATCTTAGGTGACATTTTTATAAATAAAAATTATAAATATTTTCTTTGTCAACATAACATAAAAAGAATTTTAGATAAAATATTCTATTTTCATGATTAGAACTGCACAAAAAATATAATAAATAGGTAAAATTGCACAAAAAAAAGAGTGATAAATAGAAACCCAAATATAGTAAATTGGTAAATTTTTATTCTTTTCTCCATTTTTTATAAATATACTTTAATAGAACATGTTTTAATTCTTTAGTTTCGTTTATAGAATAATTTACTATTAGTGTATATAATGTATTTTCATTAATAAATGGTACTATTAATTAGCTGTTGTTAAGTTTTATCAACTTATTAAAGCAAACTCAGGACTAGTGAAAAGTTAGTAAGAGAAAACTAAGTTCAAATTGGGAAGGATTGATTGTAATTAGACTTCTATGTTACTATAAAAACTTATGATATGTTACCTATTTCTTCTCTATATTTCAAAACTATATGTTTTAATTATTTTTATTTTTTGTCTCATTTATATTTTTAGATATATGATATTTTTAATATTTATTTAAATAATAAAATTATTTATCATTTCACCCATATTCTAGGTGTAAAAGGACTAGTATTATTTAGCTACTCGCAAGAGTTTAGAAATTTTCAAGATGAAATTTATCATTATGCTATGATTTAATATATTCTCTCAATTTAAAAAAAAAAAGAAAAAAAAAAAGGAAACTCGTTTATATCATACAAAAGTACTCTTTTTATGTAATTAAAAAAAAAAAAAAACAACCAAAAGGATGAATCTATTTTATGTAAAAAAAATTAATCATTTTAGCTTTGGAGCCAAAGAAAGCATTTTCTGTGAAAATTTTTGCTTTTAAATATATTAAAAATAAATTAAAATATAATAAATAAAAAAATCATTTCATTAATCAAAAATTAAAGTAATTTTTTACAAAATTATTACAAACTTTATACAAATATTAACAGGCAATGGCATCGCCCTGAAAAAAAAATGATAGAAAGGCACACCACAACAAATGAATGAACAAAACATTAATTTATGTGTAATCAATGCCTCTTCCTTCCATGATTTTCCCATGATCGTGCAGCTTCACCGGAGGCCCTTGCTCAGGCATATTCTGCACATAGACAATCATTAAACAATTAGTTCAAGAGTAGCAACTAAAAAGTAAACTTTTTGAGCAAATAATTCATAATGTTACAACTGCAGCTTAATTTTTTCATTAGACAATTAGTCAAAGATCAGTAGTAAATTAGCCAGCAAACATCAAATACCTTCACATTGACACTAGAAAAGGGAAGGCAATGATTCCAGCTATAACACATCAGTATAGTAATCACATGCAACACCTTTTACTTTATTTTATTTTATTTTGTTTTACTTTTCGGGCTGATAGAATTCATCATAACGTGATGGAATTAATTACAATGCATATATATAAGTAGTACTTCCTTTGCAACATTAATAGAAGTGAAAGTTTCTAGAGGCAGCTGCCTAAGGGCTGAGAAGAGCAAAGTCACTAGAGACAGCTAACAGTGGCACTATGTAAAGGACTTTTAAAACAGAGCTACAAAATTGAAAATTGAAAACAGAGCACATGCTTCTTCCTCCACTTCAATTAATAGAATCCACAGCCAAAATGTCATGTTTAAATTGATAATAACACTTCTACGTCAACTAAACACTGTAATGCGATGTAAACCTGTGGTTTGGCAGCATAATCTAATGAATTATCCAGTTAAGTACGTAAAAATTTGCCCTATAGCATGTAGCAAAGTTTCATAGTAAAAAGATACAGTTAAATTTATTGGTTCAAAAGTTACAGGAGGGCATATCACTTAACCATTTCATACAAAATTAACATAAGCAAGAATTTCTAGACAATTTAACCAACATGTTTATGCCTGGTTTAAGAAAAGAGACAAGGGTCGGTAAGATAATTCTGTCTTCTGTCTAGCAAAAAAGAAATAAACCTCTCTTGTGTCATTCTATAATTTCAGACTTTACAATGTTTTAAAATTTCTCAAATAGAAGAATATCCACTTTCGTGAAAAATAAATGGTATAGTTAAAAGGCCTTTGCTATGCGGCAGCTCATCAACAAATCAAATCCAAGTGGAACTCCAACTCATTCATAAATATGGATGAAGATGGGAAAGCAATGAAAGTAAATTATCTCTAACTCTAATCCAACCCATTTTATCAACAAATCATTTCATGTTACATGATTTCAATCACCATTGCAAACACACATAATTAGAACAATAATCAAAGAAAAAAAGACAAAGAAACCACATTAACTAAAAATTGACATATATCTACATCTAATCGACCATCCAAAAATTCAAAATACCAACAATTAGCATCACTTCAAAAGCACTAAATTAAAGAAAATTGTTAAAGCTAACATTTTTCAATTCTAAAATATAGTGAAAAGGGCAATTACCCATAAAAATCAACAGCGAAATCTGATATACCCATAAAAATAACAAATCCTAAGATAATTTAAATTACCTACAAAAAATTATATAAAATTGAAGCAAATAAATTACCTCAAAGTTGATCAAGGCAAAGCAAAATTCTGCCAAAGAAAAAGGAAAAACATATTAGCAGCGGCAAAAAATGAAATTCTAAAAGGAATTAATTAAAGAGAAAGGAAGATAACCAAAAGAGTAAAGGAAGCAAAGCTTGCTAATGGCATGGGACCAGAAAGTTTTTCATGAATACTTTAAATTTTCGAAATTTTAAGGGGGAAATTAAAGGATGACGGTTTCAGATTTTTAGGACAGTGAAGGTTTCGATTTTGGGTGAGCGAAAAGACGACAAAAATAGAGGATAAGAACGAAGTTTCCGGCGGCTAAGGGGAAGGCACGTTGGAGTAAAGCTGCCGGCGACAGTGTGATCGGAATGGAAGGGGGTGATAGAGAAGAGTAGAGGAGGTGACTGTCTCCATTTTGTTTAAAGAGAAGAAAGGTTTAGACCTAGGGCATGTATATTTATATTTAAAAAATAAAAAATTATTTTCCTTAAAAAAAAAAACCAATGAATTAGTGACAAAATATTCCCATGGCTGAATCCGTTGAAATTAAAAAGAATTAGTGATGAAATTTCGTCGCTAATTGTACAATTCTGTCGTTAATTCAACAGTAATATCGTGCCATTTCAAGGCGTCGACTACACAATTACAGAAGTAATTAGCGACGAAATTTATTTCCGTCGATAATGATAAAACCCTGTTGTCAAATATTGTCACTCTCCGTTTTAACAATGAAGAATTTCCGTCACTAAATTTTTGATGAGCTATTTTCTCATAGTTATAGGGTGTTACATAGTATTGTTTGCATATTTATTTTTAATTGGTTGATATTTAGTAGTTTACAATTAAAGTTTAGTTAATCAAAAATTTAATTTGATTAGTTCATATAATCATTTTTAACATGTAACATTTAATAGATTTTACATTTAAATTTCGATACTTATAATTTATCCTTAGATCTCTTTTATTAAAAAAAAAAAAATAGTGGGCCAATTGTGGTATCTATCCATGCTAAATCCTAAATTATTTTTTAAAAATAGTGTTCAATCCTACATTTTCTAAAAATAATATATTTTGCAAAATTTTCTTCCATTTCTTTCTTCCCTTTTTTTTTTTTTTTGTTTTCTTCTTTCATTTTTTTCTATGCTATCTTTCTCTTTTCTTCTAGTTTATTTTCCTCTACTTTTCCTTGTTTTCAATTTGATGGCACTTTGTAGTTATTCTTTAGTAAAATAAAGTTACTATAAGATTTTTTTTTTATTTTCTTATAATCTCTCGAATTATGACTCATAATTATTACTGTTATTTATTAGTGATTAGTTATTGGTTATGAAATTTGATATCTTTTTTTTATAGTTATTTATAATTTATAATTTTTTAATTGGTTAATGTAACTTATTATTGAAACTTAACTCTCATAAAAATAGATAAAATTAATATATTTTTATTTATCATTTGTTTTTTTATTATTTTTTTGAATATAAGTTTTTTATATATCCTATTATATAAATTAGTTTACATATATTTTTTCTTAACAAGCACTCATATACGAAAGTGCCAAGAGAAATACGATGATGAAATGTAGAAGAAAAAAAAAGTTGAAAAGTAAATAAAATAAAGGAATAGTAATAAAATAAACCCTCAAATTTCGCTAAAATTGAAAATAAATTTTCAATATTTTATTACATTAAATTAAGATAATAAATTTTTATATTAATCTAATGAGACCCTTGCTACTACACAATATTCCATATTCCATAATATTTCATTAAAACCTTGGTTGATGAACTGACGGATATAATCTATTAGAAAATAGTTAAATTTATTTGAATGAGTTATATAACGTATTATTGAGGAAATGCTGTATTGCTTTGTTGATTGTGCTTATTTTACAAGGGGATTCAATGAAATTTTTGTCTAGGATTCAATCTAAAATAAACTCCATTTTCCAAAAGAATTGCAATCCGGATTAATTTCATATTTTTTAAAAATAATTTTGTTCTGTTTTATCTTCCATTTTCTTATTTTTCATTTTATTTTTTTTTCAATTTTACATTTTACAAAAATATAACAATAGAATATTTAAAATAAATAATAAAGAAAGAAAATAAGGAAATAAATATAATAGTATAAATTTTTTTTTTTTTAAAAGAAAGGGCATCAGACTTTTGCATTATTTTCATCAGATTTAAGGGTCTTATTGTAGAAATCAGTGATCACCAATGACTCTGAATATTTTGATTTATATATATATATATATATATTTTTTTTCGAAGATGGTACCATATATTATGTTTTTTTTTCTTTTAATCTTGAATTGTTGAAGCAATTAAACTAATAGTTATAGTTTTGAAGGGTTGATTCAATTAAAATATGATGCTGGAGCAAACATATTATAGGATGAGATAATAAAGGCCTTTCCATATGATGATCATGAAGTATTACAAATAGCCATATATAGACATGGCAATGGCATAAGTTTGAAGGCCTTAATTCGAGGATACTCTGAAATATTACATATAAAAACCACACAATAATTAAACACATACATAACTAAAATACTCTACTGGCTATCAAATTTATCAAATTATTGTGTTATCATTCAATCAAAATCTTGTCATTCAATCTAGTTATATATATATATATATATATATATCATTCGGTCTAAAAAGTTGTGTTACCATTCAATCAAAATCTTGTCATTTTTATAAGGTAATGCCAATTCTGGACACCAGAGAATGACATCCATTACCACTAAAGACTTGGCCTCTCTTGTTTGGGAACTGAATTAAAATGAAAAACAACATTAATTCTTTTCAGTTGGGCCCTGAAACTCGTACATTTACAAATGCATATCAACTAGAAAATAAAGCTTAAACCCAAAAGAATTTCTCTTGTTCTGTGTACTTCGCTATATTTGTTTTGTGATTTTGCTATTTGCATTTTTATTTCCAAAACCAAATACTAAAATTTATTAATGATTATACACAAAATTAAACCTAATAATTCGTGCATCAATTTCTATCTATTTTAAGTAAAATATATGTAAAATAAATAAAATAAACAAATAAATCTGTTTGGATACAAAACTAAATAATAAAATTTTTGAATGATCATAAACAACATCTCTAGAAATTAATCAAAGAAATATGAAGCATCTCTAGAAAAACTTCATAAAACTAGAAAGGAAATGATATTAAAAAATTAAAAAAGAAAAAAGCAACTGCAGAAGGCCTGTAGCGTAGACAAGCAGAGCATATAATAAGTAAAAACAGCTTGCTTCACAGACATAGCTGATTTGCTCGTTGAACGCAGAGAATCCAGTTAGTTCCTTTTAACATCCAGGATTTTCAAGTGATGGAAACACTAGACTTGTCTTTCCCTGTCTTAAATTTCAAGACAGATCAACAATACAGCCACTAGCTTAGTACAGAAGACGGGTCATTGTAATAAATACAACAGAGGAGATTAAGATTTTCGAGCTGACACCAGTTAGAAGAATAATAAATGGATTCTTTTCCATGTTTTTCAGAAGAAGAATTGGAACCATTATAGAATCATTTTTTAAGAGTTTCCCAATTCGCTAGAAAACTGGAAATCGCAGGCTTCCGACACTGAAAAATGAAAACGAATATGTATCTCATCAAAAGACACTTTAGATTAAATATTGAAAATTTGCAAAAGGAAAAAAATACTTTGAAGCTAAACATGACCTAAGTTTTCTCAAAATAAAAGTTCCTATTCATAAACATAATTCATCTCAATCCCTGGTAAGATATGAAGCTAAACTATTATGAGCTTTTCAAGCTATCAAGGATACCAAAGGAATTCCACTCAAAGCAAAATTTTAAAATAAAGCAAAGAGTTGCCTGTAGACAGAATATAATAAACAACAAAATAAAATGACCATAAGCAAACTAATATCAAGAAAAATAAAATGCTAATGGCGACAGAGATGGTATTAAGCGATAAAACTGACAGCACCATAATACATTACGAACCAGTCAAAAGGAATGTCTAGGTAGACTATGAACTACACTACAGGGGTCAAACTTGCTGATTTGGGATCAAATTTCTCATTCTTGCCTTTGGTTGTTTTTCTTTGCTTAGCCGCATTCTGGTACATATCCAACAAACCTGGAACTTTGTCCCTATGCTTAGTAATGTATTCCTCCAAAAATTTCTTTTCAGAAAGTGGTATTGCCCAAACAATCTTCTTGTCCTCTTTGATCAGCTTCATCGACCTCAACACCTTCAAAACTTTATACCTTGCAATAATCCTTTTATCGATTGAATAGTGAAGCAAGGTCGGGCATGCAATGATAGTCTTCGCATCCAGCTTCATAGTATTAACATAAAAATCCATTAAATACCTAAGTTTCTTCTCGGAACAAGTTAAACATATAGGATCTTTCCTAAAAGTATTAAACACTTCCTCCTTACTCCATCCCAAACTCATAAAAACCTCCACTTTTTTTGTCCAATTCGACTTGCTTATCGAACAAATCACCCTAAGAGCCTGTATAAACTTAAGCTGTTTTGGTTCATGACCTATTTCTTTAAGAGTTTTAACCGCGTAAACCATTCTGTCATGGCTTTGCAAGAGAACTCTAGGCTGTGATACCAACAATTTCGATATCCTACTAGCAGAAATCCCTTCACTAATCAGCAAATCAACATTTGGTTGCAAAACGGTACTCAGTTTTAAAGTCAATAACCACGAAGATGACCGTTTAATAGCAACGAACAGTTCCTCAACATTCAAAAAAGGGGATAAAAACTCAAAAGATGGCTTAATATGAGAATCCAAGCTTCGAAATAGAATCAAAGGATTCGATACAATGAGTTCAGGCAAAAGATTACCTACAAAACCCTTTTGGATGAGATATTCGAGCTTGGGCTTGAGCTTTGTCTTAACTTTGCAATTGAGGATTTCAGGGCGTTTTTGAACCAATGTGGCAATTTGGGTAGTCTCGAATCCATAAGATTTCAAACAGTTGAGGACGGACGCCGATTTTGGAGAGCTGTTTGGGGAGGTTGAAAGGGCGGATTTTAAAGGTGGCTGTTTTGAAGCAGAAGAGGGGGTTGGGTTGGTTTCAAGGAAGCGTTTTTGGATTAGAGACAGCAGGTTTCTAAGAGGGATTTTAGCCATTATTGGTTAGACTTTAAGCAGCTAGCTGGAGAAGAATTCTCCCCAAATCCATAGGAAATCGAAATCAAGGGTTTTTGGCAAATTGGAAAAACCAACCCGCTATAACCTGACTAATTTCAAAACCCGACCCAATTTGATTTCTCCAAAAGAATCGGCAACTTAAATATTATTTTTATTGAAAAAAATTTACCTTGGTTAAGTGGATCTTAAGAAAACGAGGGATTTAAAAAAACGGTATAATAGAAAAATTTACATTTCTATCTAATAAAAAATTATTTAAAAGAAAATT